ACATAATACTCATCTGATGCACATGGCTACACATATACATTTATATAATGCAACGGTACATCGTACTGAATGTGTAAGGCAAAGTCATACATATATGGTACTGTACATAAGAAATACAGTAAAGTAAAAGAAAATAAAAATACAAAGAAACATAAAACACAAAGTCAATTTAATCTTTAAAAAGATCACACACCTTTTTCTGCTCTTTTAGCTAAGGATTTGCAAAATTTGTCGATCAAGATTTTAATTTTTTGATGAAATAAATTATTGTCATTTCCGAGAATAAAGATAATTGGTTTTCAATATCTAATTGTTGGAAAACGTGTAGGAAATCGTTAAGGGAGAGTTGCTGTTCAAATTTCTCGATTTCCTCATTTCTAATAATTATAATTTATATTAGAATTTATATTGTATTATTGCCTTTCGAAACATCAGAGAATGAATGCACTGTGCTCAACATTAAATGCCTTCTCGAAATCGAGAAAACATATTTTCATTAATCTAATGGATTAAGTCAGTATTATACTGTAATGATTATTTAGCAGTCCACTCCTCTTTAACGAGTATGATTCGGTTAAGGTTTTGGGGATCATAAGAGTAGAATACAAATTAATTAGACAGTTAATAATGAATTATGTCATTTCCAACGCTCTCAAAACTCAGGAGAAACGTATAGGTCTAAATATTGTTTTTTTTCTAGTACAGTATTTCCAGTACAATAACCTCTTGAGACCCGACATTAAAATATTCAACAAATCATTGGTTTTAAGGCTGAAATAGGACATTTGTATCCTAATTAGAAGGTATGCAAAGTTGCATTTCATTTCATGAGGTTATTAGGCAATGACATAATAAATCCAACTAGAGAGGGCAGCAGACACCTTTTCTGGAAATGGCACCATAAAAGGCCGCCAGGACCCTAGAGGATAAAATAAGATCTTTTTGTCCTCATGTTTATCAAAGAGGGACTCGAAAATTCTTCAAAGCAACCAGATATATCAATTTAGGATGCATTTCAATCTTTTTTAAAGAAAGGGGATCAGCAAGATATATAATAACTAGAGGCCAATTTATTGTCGCATCTTACAAGATATTCACATCGTATTCTTCAGAATGAGATATCAGACGAAACCAACCAAGCGAACAAGCGGGCTTTAGAAAGGATTACTCAACTTTAGTTCACCCCAGACTATAAACTAATTAATTTAAAAAAATCAAAATAATTTTAACAGAGCTAATGAGCTAAATAATACATTAGATCTGATAGACGAATAGGGCGGAATTTCATGGAAGAAGTGCGCCCTATACGTGCGTTGCCAGTACTCTCTTATACACATCTAGATGTGTATAAGAGACAGGGGTTAGCTTTATTTATCGCGATATTAACGCTGCTGAATGTGTTGTGGGTAAATTCCCCGCACATTAAAAATCGAAAAACGGTACTGGGTTTGGTCTACAGGAGCTCGTGCTTCGTTCATTCCATTCATAGAAGAACCTTTAAATGGTGAAGCGAAACTGTCGTTAGCCATAGTAGCCTAGGAACATTTGCTTCCAATGGCTGTAGCGCCATCAATTTATACTTAGATTTTGTTTAATAATATAAGTTGTGAATGTTTGCTGACCTGTATAATTATTTATGGGTGCGTAGGCCTATAGCAGGTTGATATTATTATATAGAGCAATAAAATACATGCTATAAATTCGTGATGACACAACGAATCGCTTTGGTAAGTAAAATGTTATCGTCCGTGTTTTTTTTTTTTAAATGTAATCTGTATAGTGGTGGTGGTTATCATAACTT